AAAATTATCGAGACAAAAATTGTTCACGTTTGTGCTCAAATTTTATGACCTTTTAATCCTGGGTAAAATTTCATAAAAAAAAAGTATTCATAAAAAAGAAAAGTTTTTTGTCAAAATTTAAACTTTCAAAATTTGGCGCCTAATATCTTCGAAGATTAATCAAAAATCTAAAGAATCGTAGCTATTTGCCTTGTCTCGGGCTATGTCAAAATGTATCAAATGTTAGAATCCGACAATTATTGTTAATATTACGGCAATATTTAAAAAAAAACCCGACAACTTCCGTGATTTCGGATATTTCGCATTGTCGCAGAAAGTTCGAAATAGCTTTAATCTCTAAGTCACACCCACTTTCTCAATAAAACCGAAGACATCGAGTTCCAATAAGTAGTTTCTGAGATATGCTCAAGTGGAAAAAATAATAATAAGAAGAATAATAATCTTAACAAAAAACAATAGTGTTTCACACAAGCCAGGGGTGTGAAACCCTAATAAGAGCGGTTTAATTCCTAAAATATTTTTGACCAAAATAACCTTTATGGCACGTTCAAGTAACCAACCATGGAAGAAAAAGTGATAATCAGCGGTCATTTAAAAATAGTCGACAGTGACGAGACGCACCCGTCGAACAATGCTATACTTAACATCTCTATATTTGTGTAAATATGGAATTCTAACATTGTTAATTGGAAAGATATAATGATAATCAATTTCAGCATGTGTAGTCATGCTGATCATGTATTTATGGCCCAATGCTACTGGGCCATCTACAATCCCCCCGTCCTTAAAACCTGTTACACGCGCGAACACTTCAATTTCTTCAAGCCACAGGCGACGTAACAGTTTGTGATCGGTTCTCCACGGAACATTTCTAGCCACGAGAACGTACTGGAGATGCTGCTGCGAACCCCCTGCAGCTATTAACAACGTAGTGATCTTTTATCCGCGAGCTGAAATATGTTTCATTTCATTACTATATCATATTCATATAAAATTTATTCTGTGTAAATTTCATTGGACATTCATGAAACTTGAACCTTGGTTAAGACAAAAATGGTCTAACACATGCGCTTTAGATCATAAGGTATGTCATATAGTTAAGTGGCGTCGTTTGCATTACAAGCTTGTACGTAACATGGTCTAGTGGTGTCTGTTAAAATCTCACGGATTCTCTATTTTCGCGCACGCGAATTATTGGAATAAAACTGTATCATATGTTAGTCCCAAAATACCTAGTTTGTGTCGAGTGGACTTAAACCTCATTTCTCTGTCCAGTCAAAATCATCCTTGATGACGGCTGATTGGAATATATTAACTTTGTAAACATAAGCATCACCATAATATCTTCGTCCGAAAATGACCTAGTTTGTGTCCAGTGGACGTTAAACCCATTTTTTTCTCCCTCTCAAGCCTAAATCATCCTTGCCAATGCTTTAATGGAATATTTTAAATTTGTAAAGATGTCCATACATATTCTCCATTTGGGGTATTGATAAACGGGACATTTTATCCCAATTTTTGTTTTGGTGTTTTTAATTCATTTTTGCTTTTTTTATTATGCCTGTGCTGGTCATTTGTATTTTTCATTTTGTTAGTAGGAAGGTTGCTAGTTGTGGGTAACATTCAACTTTGGTCCTATAGTATCTTAAACTTTGGTTTTCATTAAATTCAATTTTCAGAGCGAGTGGAGTATCTGGTCAGTACCAAGATATCAAAACTTGGAAGAAAATCAACCGATATGATTGACAATAAACAAGCATGCCAAGTCCTAGGCATTGCCCCAAGAAGAATAACTAGATTACCAAGTGTATAGACCCAGTTCCTGATTACAAAAAATATGTATGGCACTTACTTTTTGCCTGATTATCAAGCCCTTAGCTCCGTGAGAAAAAGTTTCCACAATATGAATAGCCATTTCCAACTGTCTTGATCTTTTCAATGTGGTTAACTGACAAAAAAAATACTATGTATTGGTTGACTTAAATTGCCTAGACAGTTAAAAAATGAAAGTGTTAATTTAATTACATTGTATGTCTGATGTGTTGGTTTGCTTTGTCACAGATGAGACGAAATGAAAAAGTAAAATGAAATGGGGTTTAACATCCTGCTGCTCTGCTCCGACTGGGCTAATGAAGATGGGTTTATGCCATACAGAGTGCTATGAGGGAAGGTTTTCCGGTATCGCAGTGCTAAGGCCAGGGGATCTTTTACGTGCTCGCCAATATGGAAGAGTGGGAAGGATCAACATAACTGAAAAATAAAATATCGAAATATAGACAAATTTCATCAGACATAGGCTAATGGTTGAATCAGTGAAGGTCTAATATTAGACATTGACATAAAGCCTGACGGAGTGTTTGCGGGAAATATCTGCTTATTTGTTTGTTGTTATTTTTCTTTTACAGAAATTAGATTACATTTCAACCAAACCAAATAACACAATATTTATTGTCTAGTGCATGCTTGGGTTTATTTTTTTCATTTTGCCAGAACGTCTATAACAATCAAAGATGGCGGTCAATTATCATCCATTCCTTTCCGGGTACATGAAATCAAGACGGATTCTTACCTGCTGGTCCTAGTCGGGAGGTTTCTTGTAATTCTAAGTATTTCAACAACGGCGTAGCGCCGAACAACTAATATGATAATTAAGCATGATTTCAGAAAAATTAAGACAGATTCATTAGATCGCTGAATTACTGAAACGCTTTTATAACGCGCCGAAATTTGTTCCTTGTCCACAATTATATAAATACACACTTCCGGTGAAATTGTTCTGAATCTGAATTAGTCTCTGTCATCCGGAAAAATATTCTACGAAGACTATGAGGTTCAGGGTAACCGAGACTAAATCTGACTTGTTTGTTTTAAACGAAAATAATTATTAATATACATAGAAAAGCAATATCGATGCTAGATTAAATACATGGTATTATTTTTTTGTACAAATTTACAAACCTGCGATCTTGTATTCTGTCAACAAATAATATTGATAGGGGAAAGGGAGAGCACTACTATACATACAGCGATATTGTGGTTACCGAGACACGGGAAAGTAATTGGTGATCTGTATCCACAGGTTTGGTAGAACTGGCCAATTGTCATGTAATGACGCTATTTGAAATATATGTGTATGGTTAACCCAGTCATATCTAATAATATATGCTTTATTCAGAAACAAATAATATGGGGATAGTTTTGGATGTGGTTCCCAATCGTTGTTTATATAGAACATAACTAAAATAATTAAAGCTAATGATTCATGTCGTCAATAATATTAACATTACAACAAAATGCTGTAACACGTACGTCCGGAAGGTGATGACAGATACAAGACATTGAACATAGACATGCGTCTACTATATTGACAACAGCAAGCCATAGTTTACACTACTTGTATGTCTTTATCTGTAAATGTCATAATCGCATCGGATCACAAAAGAGGTCAAATCATTTTGACAACAGATGAACATAAACAACGCCGTGTTTCTGTTAAATTATTGTACGCGAGAAATCTAATGCTCAAAACATACATCAAATTTTACATGACACAAAATGTCATAGACGATAAGGAAAAATAAGTACGGACCAATGATCTTCGGGTTTAACAACTTCTCCTCTCTTTAATAACAGTTACAATACCTCGAATCCTACAATTAGAATCAATTATTAAACAAAAGTTGGCAGGCATGTCAAGATTTCATTCACACGGTGTCTTACTTTGGAAATCTAAGGGAAATAGGATTCTGTCTATAAGAAAACGGTGAAATTGTAGAAGATCAAATAAGGATTTTGCTTTTCCAAGTTACCGAAATTATAATTGAAAATCAATAAGATTGTTCCCTCCAGTCAGCAAGAACGCCCATAGGCGATTGATTACAAATTGGGTGATGCATGCACAATAAGAAGAAATATGAATAACGGACAAAGATTTGTGTTAATATGAATAACAAAGATTTCGCTAATATGCGGCTGTACAACTAGACGGAAAGTGTTTACTTTTATAAACTATTATTGATATTTTACTTATTTTAGTTATTGGATATAAAATATAATTCAACTTATTAATTTCGCATCAACCAATAACAGGTATAATAAATCTATTTTTCGAATACATCACCACGCTGTTCGCGTAACAGGAACCGATTTATGATTCCCTCATATTGCTTATTATTTTCGATAAGCACGTTCTTAAAAACAAGACTCGGTTACTTTCGTCGGCTGTGATTGTTACGGATACCTTAAGTGAGTAGAAGATTTGACAGACAGGAATAATGGACGGGAAATGTCAAAGAAATCAACGTAAACTACACTCCAAGCATCGCACTAGCGAGAGCAATATTGTCTCCTTATTAATGTTATTAGGAGGCAAATAAGCCTTGAAGATTGGTGTATAGTTGCCACCCTGGGTGTTCAATCAACAATTGCTGAAAAGATCAACAAATTGATCTGAGAATAGCCCCAAGACACCGTCATTAAGTAAGATTCATTCCGTTATAACGACCATAAATAAGACCTTAAGTCTGATCATCAATAGCCAAGTCTTGAATAAAGCATCTCGGGGGTTGTATGGTCGGTGTAGCGTATACAATTTAAAAACATGCTCTTGCTTTGTGTTATTTTTGTATGATTGTACAATATAGCAGCAATCACAGACTCAGCATCGAAATGGGTTAAGATTCTAAAATTTGTAATCGTATGCTGTTTGTTGTATTGTTTGTTGGGAATGTATTGTCTATTTTGTTATTTATCTCTTAAATTATGCTGTTGTGTTTCTAAACTGCACTGTAAAAGTAAAAGTATCTTAAGATACAGAAGTTAATTCCCGCATTCGATTTAGATTATAAAAAGAATGTGCTTCATAGAATGTTACTATTGAGTTTACAATATATGTATTAAATTATAAACTTAAATCGATTAATTTATTATTATCCGCCTGCCTAATGTGTTTGTTTTATTCTAATATTTAATTATTTTTTACAGGGAGATTTAACATTTGACTAGAGAGCACAGAGTTGGTAGAATCAGAGAGGCAAGTGTTGAATTTAGGTCACCTCTCTTTATTGGTGTGATATAAAGTTGAGAAGTTGCTTGGATTTATACATCCGTGCGAGTAATGATCAATTCAGTGTATACCGTACCATCCGTGAAATGCGTAGTGCCTGTAGTCAATAGCTATGTTTGGTCACATTAGTTTTAAACCAATTTCACATAACCTTATTTGATTTGTGAGGTGCCATCTCTACCGTAGGAACACTGCCTGGGAGGCGATTGTATGTCGTGAAGACCGGAGAAAATAAACCAATCGATTTGTTGAGTATTTACCCGGACAAAAAACACACCGGGAATTCATTTAGTCAACTAATAAAGTGTCCAAATAGCCATATCATAACATAAGTGTTTCAGTGATAAATATTTTGGAATTTTTTTTAGATCTTATTTACAATGATATCCGTGGGCGTGTTTTATTTGCCCGTTATGAAACACGAATTGCAGTTCTTCTGTATCCACCTTAGTCTAGACAACCTACTTTCATTTTAAACACCTTGAACGTATCGCACCGGTATTTGTGTGTTTATGTAATGATCCAGTAATACATCGCTCCTGTTTTCGATTAGAACCGATAGTTTGCAAATATTTGACTAACACCGAATCACCATAATAAGAAATAAATGTGTTCTATCATGAATTATGTGTCTCTTGGGATAATAAACTGGTGATTGTGTTAGTGGCTTTAAACAGGCTTGCTTTATCCCCAATAAATTAGACTTGCCTTTCATATAATCGTTTTTGATAAAATATTTACCCAAGGTTATTGGGATCCACATATCTTTCGGCTAAATCCGACAGGATTGAGCATCAAACATATTTCTGGACATTGCAAAGCATTTAATGTGTAATCAAATTGTCATCTGAGTTAAACTAGATTTGACTGTCAATTGCCAACATATCGACATGGCATATGTGCATCTCTTGACGATATCTTTGCTCCTTAGCGGAATCCGTTTTTCTGAAGCTGTAACCCGTTCTTTTTCTGTGGCTAAAATAACGACTTTATTACCAAGTAATGGGGAATATATGTTTTCTGTCAAAAGAGTTGCACCTGCTATAGAAGTAGCCGTAAAGCAGGTTGCAAAACAACGAATTTTGTCGTACGTAAACCTCGTTGTATATTATGCTGATTCAAAGTGTTCAATTTCGGATGGTATGAACGAAGCTATAGATTACTATGCTAAGAAAAAAGTTGATGTGTTTTTTGGGCCAGTGTGTGATTATTCGGCAGCACCAGTGGGACGTCAAATAAAATATTGGAACATACCTATGTTAACAGCAGGGGCTATTGCTGGTGACTTCGGTCGCCATAAGAAGGCCACCTTCCAGACAATGACAAGGGTGGGGCCTCATATCAATTCCTTGTATCAATTCATGAAATGTGTCTTGACGACGTTCAATTGGAGAAAAGTGAAACTAGTTTATGACCCTAATGGCCAAGGATACATCACAGAATTATTTTGTCATATTGCCACTGATGGACTTCACAATGGGCTCAGAAAGAACCATTTCACCCACACGTATTTCAAGTTCCACAATCCAAGAGATATTTTTGATTCAATGAAGACAGAAATAGGAACAGAATACTCAGGTAGGTAAATATAATCATAGAACAGCCATAACCATGTATGCACAAAACTACCCGGAACATACTGACGGTTTCGCAATGTTGACATATATTTTCAACTTCAACTATATGGTAAATTCCAACACCTACGTAGCTAATAATCGAGTCCCATATACATTACAGATTGTATATTATTGCCATTCTTCACACGTGTGTCCAGAGGAACCGTACGAATAACATTCAGTTTATAGGATACCATGTTATGTCTTTATAATACATCATCCACAAACATCAATAGATAGACTGGGGCAATATTATTGAAACACGGTAAATAAATAATACAATCTTATAATATATAGCAAGACATGGGTAACAAAAAAAATATGCATAATTGATAAAGTACGGACGTGAAATATCCATATACCCGAGTAAGAGTAGTGCCACTGTCCGAGCAAAATTTGCTTAATAGCACACTGTATGGCGTACGCCCGTCTTCTATAGCCCAGGCGATGTGGAGTGGTAGGGCGTTAAAAACTATTTCATTTCTCCTAGTAAGAGTAATAAATGTTACACTCTATTGGAACTTCCTGCTTTAAAGCATGTTATAACGGAGCCGTATTACAACATCTTATGATAACTTTGTTGTATCAACGAATATGCGCGCGTTTTATTTCGTAACCAGCACATTTAGTTTTCTAGTAACAAGGAAGAGTGTCGTGTTAGTTTCTGCAGATATGAAAATAATAAATGCATTTGTATATATATATATGTATACGTACAATTTATCATGGATTGTATGTTATCACTAATTCCTCTTTAATGTTTAGTATATCCATAAACCATATGAAATTATATGGAAATGATCTCCGCTGATGATAAATGAATAAACCCACTCCCTGATAAATTACTATTTGCTGTATCATTTGTATTCAACTACTTAATGATTCACAACCCTAACAGCGTTCGAATCCATGCCACAAAATTGCGTAATTATGTTTTAACAGCACATTATCTGTCTAATCACTAAAATGGTTTATGGTGCTCTTTTTAATACCTCGATCGATTCAGATAGAGAAAAAAGCCTATACCAGGTCTCCGGTAAGTATGTACTAAACGTCTTATATTAAGTAATTTCGGGTCACCTTGCTCGCGTAGAATAACATAAAGAGGTTGGATTTAATTACTAGGCTAGCCATAGTGATTTAACACCATCATTAAATGATTCACTTAGTAAAAACGCGCAGCATATTATGTTTCATTTGCTTGGCTTTACATTGAAATTAGCAATCAATGAACACTAATATATAACAAAAGCCTTTGAACATCTTAAATAATGAGTTAATAATACCAAATTATTTATATCACTAGGTATTTGTATCTATGAATGATGCCTACTTCACCAATAATGTTCAATTCCACAAGTTGTTTAACTTTCATTTTTATTATCAAAAATTGTTTTCTTCTTGATAAAATTTTAGAAAATAATGGGGCGGGGGTCCTTAAAAAAACAACGCTCAAATCAACAGGCTTCATCGGACTACATACGGATAAAAAATATTACACGCTTATATATTAAAACAAGGTCATTGTTGGTATCATAACCTTTAATCTCTTAGGAGACGCTTAACAAATTTGGCTAAGGGTCAATATCCGGCGTCTTGTTTGCACTATGGAAAGGTTAAGCTAGAGAGGAAGGTGGACCGGAACACGGAGTGGATAAAGAACAGATATCTTCGACTACAGCAAACACTACTTCCATTCACGATCTTTGTATTGAAGACCTACACATGATCAATACATCCTATTTGGCCCCGTGTCCATTTGTTTACAATTCATCCAACTAACATGTTCAATTTCATTTACTTCCATTGCCAAACCCACTTAACTTCCCAGGGCCGTCGTGATCTATTATGTCAGTTCCTGGGTTTAAGGAATATTTATGTTATTCGATTACCATTCCATAAAATGGAATTTATTTCTATGAAAAACGAAATTGCTATTAATCTGAGTATTCTATTTAAATGAATTACTGAATCATTCTTTTTTAAACACTTCGCTGCCAAGTTTGAGTACTAACAACATATTCAATCTGTTAATGGAATTTATCACACATTGCAGGTCTACAAAGCAAGATACATGTAAAAGTACTTTGATATTGCCAGTGATAATTTTAAGACAATGCAAAACGGCATTTAGATAAAAAGAATACAGCACAACATTGTGTCTTATACGTTTATCGGCAATATATTGTTATCCTTGTTTAATGGTATTTTAAACAAAGAGGTGCCGACCCCGGATTTAATTTGCTGATTTCATATAGCACCCAAATACAAAACACGCTGATAAGTATGTAAATCTGCATTTTTGGACATGTGTGTAATAATTGTCCATTCGGTTTTGGATTCCGAAATAGTCAGGTCAATAGCATACCACCATAATAGTCTAGTTAAATTACGGGAAGACCCACCACAAATTCCTTTAGTAGGTTTTTTGGTACCAACTTGTAGATGACCTTTCCCTGTACATCATACTGAAAATACACCGAAAACCAATGATTAAAACACAGATCCTATTTCGTTTCGTTTTTTTTCTAGTTCAAAATTTCGTTTTACTTGTCTTTACTACACTAGGATCTGGAAGAGTTGTTATATTACCGGCGTTCTGGTTGTAGTGAGGGATTAGTCAATGAAACGGCCTGTTAGTGTTACGGTGAGTTCGTGGCGTGTGATGTACGGAACTGTGGGTGAACCACTAGAAGCGTCAATCCCGATTGACTAATCAATGTCTGGCGACATAGGGTTAAAAGCCGCTCGTACCTCTGACACGACCATCCAATACAACAGGTCAGATTTTCATGTAGTGTGGACCATCGAAAGTATAAAAAAACGAAACGAAATATAGATCTGTGTTTTAATCAGATTGCCGAAAACCATGGATATTCTCTCCCGACAAAGGTTTTCGGGGGAATTCATGGATTTTTAGTATGATGTATAGGGGATGGTGCTCAACAAGTTGGTGCCCAAAAATCTTCTAAGGGATTTTGTGGTGGGTTGACCCCTATATTGGCGTATTTTGACTAGAATAAAGCTCGGGTCACAGTAGTCGACATGCAGGGGATCATAGTTAGGCAGAAAGTTAGCCAGAAATGCACATTGTGATAGATTATTAACGCATTTAATTGCGTGATAAACATCAAGGCCCCAACGGATTGTGAGGTACTAAGCTAGAGCCAATGCCTAAATTGGGACTTCTGAATCAAGCAGGTTTTGATTTCCAACTATCGCTAATAACGATGTAATGTAAGCTTATAGTTTTACACAATTGCTAAATATTCAGTTATTTTGACAAGTATTGACATTGTAATGATTTGTGTTATAATATAGATTTGTATGTTGTCTCTGAATAATATTAAAACAATATCAGCTTATATCCAATGCAAAATTTGGTTTTCTTAGTCAGTTATTTAGTACCAGTCAAATTTGCTTAATAATGTTATGATTACTGTACCAACAGAACGTTGGCCTAGTAATAGGATGCTTCAGAACCAGTCTACAGACATTTCTTGATAGAGTGCCTTCAGTAATGCGCAGATCAACCTTCTGCATAATCTACTGAAAGGCTTTGATCACCAAGTCAATATCATCCAAAGTCTTCAACATTATATAATTATTTGTCAATTTAAATCAACATTGATGTTGTGATCTTGCTGGGAAAAGATGGGCTTCTGGTATCCAATATTTAAGATAAACTAAACATTTTACCATTGGTGCACGAATCGTGCACCAATATACGTTTCAGTGCCATTTGAAACAAGGGACCCAAAGAAAGAGGCTAGACATATTCCTCAAGTCATGTCAAACGGTGACCTCATTTTCTTATTTGGAGAGCATGCGCAACAAATACTATCGGTGTAGACTGGAATAACCAGACTTTAGAGATTGCCATTCAATTGAGACTTCTGGCGTATTTCGCGGAACATGACTGATTAGAAATTATAGTAAAAACAGAAACGATTGAATGTTAATCAGTTTATATACATTCATATTACATTATTATATGCGTTGCTACCCATTTGTGTCAATTTCTAGGTCCCAGATATTAGCGATTTAGCTCCTTTTAATTAAAATATTTTAAGAAAATTAATATTTGTTGGAGGATCTTAACCGTTCACCAATGAGAAAGCGCCTCATCCTTATTTTAGTATTAAGTTTTCATGAATTAGCCGAAGTAGATTGGGTTGGGGGTCACTGTTTTCAGAATGGGATATAGACCTGGTTACTGTTAATATTGTTTTATTAATTAGAACTATATACCTATCATTGATATTGAACTTGCAACAAAATGGAGCACATATTTGCCTGTCCATGAGTCCATTCAGTATTTTGTTAAATTTGGTTTTCATTTAACCAGAATAATCTCTATCCAACCTGCCAAAAACCGAGGCTTCGATGTACAACACTAGTTTCAGCATGCTAAAGATCAACTGACAGTTGAAATTCCAATAAGAGTAAGTCGTAGCGCCGCTGCCAGGGCAAAATTTCCCTTATAGCACACTGAATAGCATATCGTATGCTCGTTGTCATTTCTATCCGCAATCTAGTATTTTGGTTTAAAGTTAGCAATAATAGCTGTATCCAGTCCAGAAGAATAATTATTAGTAGCAATGATTGATTCTATTTTAATTATGTGTATGCTGAAAAATTCGCTTCCCTGTTACACTCTACCCAAAACAAACAGTCCTATGTTTATTAGAAAAGTGGATATGGTACCACACTCACCGAGATTCGCTAAATAATGCTAAAGTATATTGCAACAAATATAACCAAGCCCCTATCAGTTTCTTTCTTAAAGCTGGGTGGAAGATCAGTTTTTTGTGTGCTGAATTATTTTCGGGTTTGGAAACTGTATACCACTTATCGTGTGAGATTTCACAAGCATAGTTAGCAAACGTTTGTTGAAATGGTATACAGACTCCAGATAATTAAATTTTGCATTGAAAAACTTGATTAACTTACCTAACCAAA